CACACACTATCACTGTCAGTAGAAATTGTAAATTAAAAATAAATCGGTATTAAGGTATATTACAAGCAAGTAGTTTTATCCTGTAATTTCCATACTTCCGTATATATAGACATTAATTCTATGTAATAAATACATGTACTAAACACACGTATACTAGTCAAAAGTTCGTGAAATTACTGCAATTACTACTACATTGTAGATTATTTAAAGGTTCCATCTTTCTTAAAAAGGACCCTTCTTACATTCAAGTTCAGAAAAGCGGCCATAACCCAATTTCCGTACCGTTTGGTAAGTTTGGTTAGGTGTCCTTTTTAGGTATATATCTGACCTATGTTGTAAAATTTTCAGTTCCTTTAAGTGCCGGTTAGGGTAGTCATACCTTAATTATTTTTTTCAAAAAATCACCTGTCAGGGAAATATATAAGCCCAATATATGTACACTGTCCCGGTAATGGCCACGGTATCGCTACGGTGTCTTAAGCCGGTGAACCTGGCGTTCCGTTGTGCTTTTCTGAAAAATCAAATTGCGTTCACACATCCCCGAAAGAGCCCAGGTGGTGTTTAGTACCCGATATAGCATCGGATATATACGTAAGCGCCGATGTTAACCCGATGTATTCCCGGTTGATCCCGGTGGAGACCCGCCTAGACACGGTTTCTTCGCGGTCCATCCCAACCATCGCCGATTTCGCTACGGGCGATGCCGAAACGGGCGATGCCGGTACTGTCCCGGTGACGCCCAGGTAATGCGCCGATGGGGCCTCCGTGGCCGAGTGGTTAAAGTCGTTGACTTGAGATCACAGGTCCCTCACCACTGTAGGTTCGATCCTCACTCGGGTCGAAATCTTTCATGTGAGGAAGCCATCCAGCTGGCTTACGGAAGGTCGGTGGTTCTACCCAGGTGCCCACTCGTGCCTGAAATAATGCCCGGAGGGGCACCTGGGGTCTTCCTCCACCAATAAAGCTGGAAAAAATCGACGAAAAATCTCGGCGGGACGCTCTAGGATGACCCGACTTGAGTGTACGGTCGCCCATATGGGCTTTCCGGCGGCGACCTTAAATAAACGCATCAAAAAAAAAAAAAGTAATGCGCCGAGGCCTCCCCGTTCAATTTTTTAAGAATTAAACTGCTTGACCACATTTACATCAGTCATGCGGTAAAAAGACGGCAGAGATGCCACCCAAAGGAAAAGGGAAGAAAGTTGGAAAACTGTGCTTACAACGCCTACAGAGGTTGAGGTATCTGAAGCCGAAATGCATCAGCTGAAGATTTTTCATACTCTTATCTAACAAATAATCCATGCTCTGTTCCTTTACTAAACAAAATTATCAAAAGTAGCACTTCAAGTGTATATATACTTGTTCTTTAAATTGCCTGTTATCGGCATGAGGTCGTGACGCCACCGTTGTAATATTCGGGACTTTACCTGCTCCAACCGGTGCGTTGTCGCCATAACCGTAATGTACCCTGGCTCTACTGTAGCTCTGCCTGTTTTTACTGTGGTGAGATCGTCTCATCACCGGAGCTTTGCCGTGTCACATTGATTAGCACGCATCCCAGTTTACTACGATTTGTCACGGTATTGATGCGGTAAAGGTAGATGGTCCCCCCTGATTTCCAGTGCCAAGCCGATAGAACACGGCTCTGGGCTTCTTCCCGGTGAGTTCCGGAGGGCCCCGTGGCGATCTCTCGGTTTGTCCCAATTCACCATGGGTTGTCCCGGTACGCTATGCTACGGCCATACGCCGGTTCACCCGGGTTGATTACGTGGCAAACCGGGACGCCAAACCGGGACTGTGTAAATGGGAATTTACTGCGCTGTCTTACTTTTACATGCGATATTAATCTTTGAAAATACTGAAGATATTCACTTTGAACTTGTGTTTAGGATCATATTAGAAACTCACCTTCCAAGGCCCATCAGACATTAATTTTGACTATAGCTCTTTGTTGGGACAATTTTGTGATCGAATTGGTCAGTTTGTACGTACTACGGCCTGTTAAGCTTGTTTACACGATAACATGAGAAGGAATAAGTACTGGTTTATTTTGTTTGGAAGGGACATTGCCCATGGAGAGTAGATAGCCTATAAGGTAAAATCCTTGTCTGATGAATAATTTAGAAGGGATAAACCATGGTTTATATAACCAAGGAAGATCATTGCACCATTGATCAGTAGATGACATCTAATAATTTCGAGGTCATTGGGTAAAAAATCAGGGTCAAAGTGACGCTAAATGTAAACTTATTGACCAGTCAGTAAGTTGTATAAATGGCACTTTTACAGGCTTGTGAAGTAGGGGCATCGTTGTACTACAGCACATGTCAAGTTAATAATCCTTGTACTATAGCACATGTCTAGTTAATAAGGGAAATTCATATAAGTGGTGTAATCTGATTGGCTATTTATCTCGTGGCCACGACTTAGTAACTCGTGGCCACGACATAGTATCTCGTGGCCACGACTTAGCTATCTCGTGGCCACGACTTAGTAACTCGTGGCCACGACATAGTATCTCGTGGCCACAACTTAGATATCTCGTGGCTTCGTGGCTACGACTAAGTAACTCGTGGCCACGACATAGTAATTCATATAAGTGGTGTAATCTGATTGGCTATTTATCTCGTGGCCACGACTTAGTAACTCGTGGCCACGACATAGTATCTCGTAGCCACGACTTAGCTATCTCGTGGCCACGACTTAGTAACTCGTGGCCACGACATAGTATCTCGTGGCCACAACTTAGATATCTCGTGGCTTCGTGGCTACGACTAAGTAACTCGTGGCCACGACATAGTATCTCGTGGCCACGACTTAGCTATCTGGTGGCCACGACTAAGTAACTCGTGGCCGCCACATAGTATCTCGTGTGCACGGGATAAATAAAAAACACACACATGTCACCTTTGTGCCACCGTACGATACAAATCAATTACAGTAAATAACAATAATTTCCCTGTATATAAACTACATAAATGTGTATCATATCGTATTCATATTTGGCATGGAGGTTGATCATGACCATTTGGTGACCCCTTTTGATTTTTAGGTCACTGGATCAAAGACCAAGGTCACAGGGCCTTGACTTCAAACTGCTTGTCCACACAAGTCTAAGAATCATTTGACACACAGTCTTCATATTTGGCATGGAGGTTGGTCATGACCATTTGGTGACCCCTATTGATTTTGATGTCACTGGATCAAATGTCAAGGTCACAGGTGCCTTAAGTTCAAAAAGCTTGTCCGCTCAATTGCTTAAGAATGCTTTGGTCAACAATCTTCATATTCAAAGTTACTCGTTACATGAAACACAAAATGTGAGTACGTGTTATTGAAAAGTAACAGAAAGCAATCAAAAATGAAAAGGTAAATAATAAACTCGCAATGTCCCGGTTATCATCGGGGAACGAAAACGAATAGTTTATTTTGTATTATGGTTGTTGTTATTTTATTATAAAAAATGACATGCTTGAAAATGTTAAGGCAACCAGTGGTATTATTAAGTTAACAAAAGATTTGAACCAATGTTCATTTATAGCGGCCTCAACCGGTTAAAGTCTCTTACTTTAGCGTTCTTGCTTCTGTTGATTTGAGATCCATTTAGACATAAATTTGGATTCCCCCATAATGGGAAGATATTCGGCATGTGTATGTCATGTGAGTGGGTTTAAAAGTTAAAGTTAAAATGTTTTGTAAACATATTTAGTTTAGCTCCATTGTGGTAAACCTTGTTTCAAACCACTCTGGACTCCTCTTCCAGAAAACTAACCAGCACTGATGCCACATAAGGAAACATGGTCGTGACGCATGGAGGTATCGAACTCTTGACTCCTTTGTTGAGAGGCAGACAATGTAACCACTGGGATACGCTCCTCTAGTTAGGAAACGTGTAACTTGAAATTCCAGTAACAAAACCCACGCGACAAAACACAATTGAAGAAAAATAAGCCAGTTCCATGTATGCATGTATTCTAGGCTTAATGAGGGTCCATCCGCTCTTTCAATCAGAAAGTACGGACCTCTCATCCTATTTCAGTCGTTCTTGGATCTTTAGTATTGGTTTATACAGAATTTATTTTAGTTCGATTGTGGAGGAAGCTTCAATCTTATAGACACACTCTCGAATCTGTTCCTGGAACCAACCAGTACTTAGCGTGAAGTGTAAAGTTTCTTGCTCAAGGAAACAACGGCTCGCCCCTGACAGGGTTTGAACCCACGCGGTCAGCAATGCTTAGATTACTAGTCCGGTTTGATATCCACTCGGCCATGCCGACACTATCTATAGTATTGCATTCGATTAATCATAATTATATCGTTTCATCGTTTCTCGTTGGAGTGATATAACTGAAACACTGTGATGTATAAACAGAAAGTAAGGAAAATTCACTATCCGATATACTGGTTGGTGAACACCAAAACCGGACAACCACCAAACCCGGACGACCTTGAAAATGCCTGATTTAGATGTTTTTTCTTAGTCAGTGGTTAACGATCTATCAGTCGCTTTTTATCGTTTATACTCTAATTGAATTTATTTCAACTTTCGTAAACGATAATATTTTAATGTCTATTTGAAGAATGTTGACGTTGAAAATTTGAAATTTTATAGAATTAAATCAATGTCATAAACATATCAGCCCGGACAATGGTACTGAAGTGTGGACAATTTAGGTAGTTCTGATACCCGCCTTGATGAGTCATAGTGTCAACATAGTCAGATACAAACAAACTAGTTTTTTTAGTTAGGAGAAAAACCTAGCTATACTATGTCAAATTTACAGTTCTCAAGCTTTCAAAATATGTATGGAAAGATGTTCAAACTGTTTTCGGTTAATGGTCCCTGACCAGTATTTATCTAGCAAGTCCGGAAGTACTACAAGAAGCTATAAATAACAATTCTTCTCTTTTATTTTATTTTTGCATAAATATAATTATAATAAAGATTGAGTATTATATAGTTTTTACATAATTTAACATGTATAAAAAATCATAAAATGGAAACAATTTCATATAAGTTTAATATAATAAAATTGTAAAAATGAGTTCTACATTTTGCAAAAAATGCAGATATCTAAAATACATAAAGGCTGGGACAAAAAGAATTTGTCCCAGATAAATATCAGCTTAAAACATACCATTATAAAGCTATTGATAAAAAGATAATAACCATAGCAAAAGCACACATATAAAAAATTAAACATGCTTTGGGGTGGGGCTAGGGGGTGAGGTACTCTACAAACATAACACAGAGGAGTAGCATCATAAAATCAAGATAACTATAGACAATCTAGATAACTCTTCAACAATGAGAGAATTAATCAAAATATAATATTTACATTTTATATAAAAATAAACATATATTATGGCATTTTATTAGGAAAACAATATATTTGTAAAGAAGCTCTCTGCATATAAAACATGATAAAACTTTTTTAACCAAGGTTAAAAGTCTGAATAAATTGGTGCAAAAAAACATTAAACGTGAGCAGTTTTCGCATGCGCATTTCGCTTTATATTATAACGTGAAAATCGTGCGGTTTATATCCACTGATTGCAGTAGAATAGTTTGATGCCGCGGTAAGTCTAAAATAATAATGCAGTTTTACCCAAAACTAAAATATTATATTGACTGTACCAAGTGCACTATTGGTGAGGGGTTAGTTAGTTTCACACACATTTACCCTGCCATTTATTACAAATATATGCATATAACATTATATATCGAAACGTCAGTCACGAAAAACTAGATCATGCACCTGTTCACATTTGAACAACTTTGCAATCTATTACGTCTCCCTTTATAATTAAGCTATTCATTCGAATATGGACATTAACCATCAGTAACATATAATTAATACACATACATTTATCCTTTCATTTAATTTATAAAAATGTCCGATCTGCTTTTATACTTAGGCGACGAATTCGCACCATATGCATTTTTTTTCGTGTGGCCGTGGCAACAAAAACATACTGACACCGATTGAACATTCCACAAAACCCACAAAACATCTATGCATTTTACCTAGTACATGTACACACTTTGCACGAGCATAGCTTTTCTTTTGCAGGAAGTCCAGTCACTGCCTGTGAATGTTTTATTTACAGTCTTCGCACATCTATTTTAAAACTCTGAATTGTCAGTCATATTTAATTAAACGTTAAATATATCACACTTTATCACTATTGTAGGATTTTAAAAACCCTGTTTTTTGATGTCTGTTTTCAATGCATGATTTATTGCTGAAATGTAATATAAAAAGACTGTATATAATATATGATTATCATTCAAATAGCATTTAGAAATAAATACACAGTCAAACATCCTTAACGTTATAAGTGTCACATGAAAACATTCAAAATTTTATACAATCCTATTAAAATTAAATAAATAACAAAACTTTCATATCTTATAAATGTCTCATCAATATATTAAACTATAAGTAATTCAATATATTGAAAATAAATATCAAACTTAAGTTTAAAATCAAATATTTAAGGACATTTAATATTTTAAATATAAATTTCAAGTTGTTCAGTTATGTATCACAACATGAATGTATTTTCAACAAAGAAAACCAGTTTAAAGAAACTTGTCGCTGCTGTTATTTCTTAAAAAGATGTTTGTTTAAAAAAAGTTATTTCTAGAAAAGTTATAAAAGAATCAGATTTCCGTAAAATGCACGAAAATCACGGAACTTACCGTAAACACTGGATGAGGATGTTGTTCATGTTGCGGCCGTGCTATTTCGTACTGGAAAAAACACAGGGAAGCAAAATATATAAATAATAAATACAGAGAAAAAAATAATGCAATAAGCACTCACAAAAAGATAGTTAGCTGGAAAGTAAAACCCAATCAAGCACATTCAATCTACTGCAATTGGCTCACTTCTGATAACAATTATCTTTTATTTAAATGCCATAGAATGTATCAAGAGCCTATTTAGTTGACTTTGGATCGAATATGATTTTAAATTTTATACTTGTGTCTTTTTTTATTTAAATATTCTAATAATTAATCAGCAAAAACTGGATAAAAATAATTGGTGTCAAAATATGTTAAAATACATGTACTTACTCTTTCATGTGGATGAATATAATTGTAAAGAAAATCCCAGGAGAAATTTGACGTCAAAGCATTGTCGTATGCTGTAAAAAACAAAAAAGCAACTATATCAAACATAATATTCTTTAGTCTAAACATGTTACTGACGCATTAACGAAATATTTCGATGCAACTAACTGCTTACGATTTCATCGATGTCAATGTCCGTGGAAATATGTTGAAATTATAAAAATAAATAAAGAATTATAAATAAAATCAGTTGCCCGACAGTCGAAATCGCGTTCTATTTGCAGTATAAGTTTAAAATAATCTAAATTGCTAATGCTAACAGAACTACATGTTGTCGGTTCAGCCCATTTATACAAATATAATTACATGTATATACCAATGAATGAAATTGTATTTGTAATCATTGTACTTACAATACATTTCATCAGCCCGCATAAAATCATTATCTCTCCGACTTCTATGATGTTTACCATCGTCAGTTGACCTTGACATTGATTCGTCGTCCCAGGTCTGGGGACCATATAGCCGACCCACGGGATTATTTCGGCCCCATGTACTTATTTTAGTCGGTATAGTATTGGGGAAGAATCCGTTATTGAAAGAGCCCCTGAAGAAAATGAAATATAAATAAACATACTACTATCTGTTTCAATAAATTAGCATAAAAACTTATACTTCTCCAACACTTGGTTTATATATCCATCAATTATTAAAAAAAAACGAGGAATTGTAACTTAAATTATGATTTTTCACACCATTCAATATAATATGGCATTTCTTTATATAGTCTAACCACCAGATGTGATCGCGAAACACATATATGTTGATGCTAATAAGTATTTTAACTTTAAATTATTTTAATTTTGACTTGACTAAATAAATATTAGTTTTAAATATACCCGGCTCTCAGCAAAATATTAAAGATTAAATTAAATTAATTTAATTTAATTTTGTGAATACCTGTCATTGAATTCTTCGGTATGGTAGCGTTTTTTCTTGTTGTTCTTTACTGCATATATAATTATTATTGCAATAACAAGGGCGGTAATCAGGAATAGTGGTACACCGACACCAAGTCCTATTACCAGTGGGAAATTATCTGACGTCTTCGTTGGTCTGAAAAATGTCAGATCAAACATTTAAAATATTGATGAAATACAATGAGTATTTCTCTTTTCCGTATTTTCACTGTAAAAATTTATTTTTCATATTTTCCGTATTTTCACTGGTGTCTTGCTAGACTACTTTTTCCTATATTCAGCCAATACACAAAATTTAAGGGGAAGTCTTTCAAATTGTAATGTTAAAAAAACAACAGAGAAAATTATATATATATTAAACAGAAAATTCAAGTTTTTTAATCTATAAATAGACCTACTTGATTTATTTTCAACTTGTTATATGAAAACTATTATTTTTCACTCGTGGCTACCACTCGATGAAAATAAATCATGTATTTATAGGGGAAAAAAACTTGAATATCCTCTATATACATAAGAATTTACATGAAAAAAAAACGTTTATGACGTCAGACGCGTCATTGTGTATTTAAAACTGACGTAACTAACTTACTCGCACAAGGGGCTGTCATTTTTTATGACACATTCTTCATTAGCAGCACACTGTCTACCTCTCGCTTCATAGAAAGCTGTACATAACACAGACTTCTTACTGTCGCCAGAAATATCGACTGAAAATAAAACAAGAGCTCAGTTCCAACAACTGTTACTAATAATCAGAAGTAAAATCTCCGAAATCTATTCTTTTTTAATTTAATTTACATTTGTAATTTAAAATTTAATGACCTTTACAACTTATTTGTCAATCTTCTCTTACAAAAATATCTAATTTATATCATATAATAAGTTTATTCCACACTTTTATTTACTTTACATCGTTGCAATTTGACTTAAATCGTCCACTACCGTTAAACACAAAAATGTACCGAGAAAAAAATATGGAAATTAAAAAAATCCAAATCGTGAGCATATTGTGAACAAAAAATATCTATTTCATATCATATAATTATTTTATTCTCCCCTTTTTTTTATCTTTGCGCCGTTCCAAATTTGCCTATATCGTTCACCGCCATTAAATAGAGAAAATATACAGAAAAGCGACGTGGAAATGAAAAAAAATCCAAATCGTAAGCATATAATTTGTTTTCTCAAATCAATAATATATCATTACTTACTGGTTTCCTGCCCTAAAGTGAGCCCCTCAGCAACAGTATTAGCTCCAAATACGCTCACAGTGCTGCCGGTAACCAGGCTGTACATTGCACGTGAAAATTGTTGTGATGCGGTGTTACTATCGCTGATCAACACGTCAACATCAGCCACAATACCTCCTCTACACAGAGAAACAAAGAATAATTGCAAGTTCATTAGTCTAATATTCAAGTTGACAGTTATGCTTTCCATTATTAAGTATTAAAGCTGCATGCCCCCAGAATAGTCACATTATTAAAAAAGAAATTAAACTTGAGAGAAATCTTCAAAGATTCATTACAAAGTTAAAAGATTCAACTTCCAAGTAATAATTTGTGTGATTAATGAATTAATTTATCACCATGTTTCTACTGAGTTACTGACGCAGTTAGGGCTATTTTTGCATGTTTTGACCTTTACTTGGTAATCTATTCGGACTGTAAATGCCGACTTGCAATGTGTAAATAACTTTCTTCTTTCACTTCACAGTATTTTTACAGAAGCAATAAACTTATTTTAGTACCATTGGTTTAAAGTTTCATACGAATTGGGTAGGTTTCATGCTTTACTTATATATCGATAACATTTTACCTACCTGGCTAAAGTCAGCACTCTAATGTCTTTTATGTTGCTACCCATTGTTGCTTGGAAGAATTGAAGAAGCTAAAATTAGCAGACGATAGATTTGTTATTTATGCAGACATACACATACGAATAAAGTTAAAAGGTTATGCACAGGAAACGTTATTATGAAGGGTACAAGTGCATTTGTACCCAATAAAACAATACACTTCACGTACATGTAACTGATTATGTTATTTACCTTGAAGGCCCATTTTGCCTTTGACATGCTATCATTTCTAATTCTCAAACTTTTATTTTTAGTTACATTTTATTTTGAACATATAAACATTTTTTGCTTCTTTTGCTTTGTTGGCAATTGCTATAATTATAGTGAATTAGTATTTCGTATGTAAGTCATAACTACTTTTTTTTACTTTTTTTTCTACCTTTATAACTCAATGCTGCAAAGTCAGCGCTACTTTCTTCAGCTGTTGAACAACTATATGCACTAAATCCATTAACAAAACATCTTTAAACACTTGTTTGCCATTTCTAAAGATATTTCTGAGGCATAATGAGCCTTTAAAATAGGTCACTCTTCCATCAATTTAAATACCTGTGAAAAACGTGCAATAAATACTCACTCCAGTCCTGACTTCTGCAGCATAATAATTAAATGTAGCTGTAACTCTAAGGTCAGATTGTGTCGGCACTGTGTAGTTAAGAGTAATGTTTAAGTCGATCTTTATTTCTCCAGCTGAAATTAATATACTGTGCTCATTTCATGTAATTTATGCTGTATACATGTATATATAAATTGAACTGAAGGAAATAAAGAAAATAGTGATTAATTTATTTTGATAAGAAAAAAACACCCCCCAAAACATATATTTTTGTTTGCTCCACTTTTTAATTATTTTTTCAAATTTTCATTACTTTACCAATTATAAATGATTCAACAATAACGTGTTAAAATATCTTCAAGCGATTCACTTTTAAGCTCTTCGTAAAAATAATTATTTAAAAGATATCTACTAATTCAATAACATATGTATAATTATGTACAATCATACATTATTATTTTATGTTATTTATGTTAATTCAAACTGATAATTGTAAAAAGTATGTAAAAAGTATAAATACACCGCCTTAAACGAGGTTCCAAAAAGTAAATAAATAAATAAAAAAAAATGTTTAAAGCGTTGTCCATTTGAAAGGTCAACGGTCAAAGACGGTCATCCCAGCTGCAAGAGACTGACCAATGTGTTTTATAATGTCTTCTAAA